CACACACACACACACACACACACACACACACACACACACACACACACTAAAGTGTTCATAATTTCACGATCTTGTTTACGTACAAAACCTTGCGCAGATTCGCCTCAAACGACTGCTTTTGTCTACGCGTCTTCTAAATAAATAATGTAAAAAGTTACATGAAACGTGTTAACAAATGAACCTCTTACATTCCTGAAACAACATTAGTATTTTAGTAAAAAACATTGTGGTTTGAATATAAATGTGCAAAATTTACATAGTGATTTTTTTTAACCTCGTACGTTACCAGTCCATATTGGTTTTGAAAGGGGAATAAACATTTCTGCTACATTACCTAGTTTTGTAGTAGGAATAATTTTTCCTCTCTCAGTGCTGGTAATGTAACTTGGTTATGTACGGATAGCAAGGGAACTTGTAATGCTGACAATGTATCAAGCCGTAAAAAAATTTAAAAGCACGAAACATGGACATTCATTCACCTGCAAATTGCGTCGAATCGACCAAACTTGTAAGTCCAATGGAAAACAAAAAATGTTTCAAGCTAGAAAAAGTTTCGAAAGATGTGATATTCAAATACAAATTAAACCACGGCTGTTTATGATATGTCTAGTCGATATGTATTTAACTATTGTAAGTATTGATGACTGTGAATAATCTGTAAAACTTTCTAGTTTGCAAAATCACTGAAGTTGTGATATTTTAATAGGTAAAAAATTACGAGTTGAAAATGTAGATAAACATCGACAATAGCGTAGTGCATTGTTTTGATTATTTTTAATAAATAATAGGACATTTGACAATTCGAACATGTTGATTAAATTATAAATTAGACGCTAATATTGTATAACTATTTCGCTGTTGTAGACTACCTATATGTTATTTCCTGGGGCATAAAGGAGATGAAGCGATCAATGTCAGTGTATAGGTCTACCAGAATTTCAAGTAACAAAAAAAAGAAGTACACATGGCAAATTTATTTTTGACCAGTAGCTACTATGTTTTAAATTTAAATTTTTTTGCATGATATTCATTAGGTAATGATATTAAATAAGTAAGAATTAAGTCTTCTTAAATTAGTTAAACTATTAGCTAGGATAGACACACTCGGTAACACAACATAAAAAACAAATGCAAATTTGAACGCTATGCAAATGGTATTATGGAGCACGGATGATAATAACACTTTGAATAAGATCACAATTGAAATCGAGGAATATTATCGAAATAATATCTGACAGCAACTAGATTCTCATTACTTTAGAGATGACGAGGTGGTAAGAAATGTAGAAGAAACTCTAAAGTTAACTAAAGTACAGTTTTTAATACAGAATTTAGGCCTTTGTAAATCGTTAGTTGAGGCTCAAATCGGTAAGACTATACAAGAATATAAAAAGTTTTAGCGTTGTGTGTTAGTTATCTATCCTTATTACTCCTTTAAAAAAAATGTTGAGAAGATTTAATTCTTATTTACGTAAGACATGGCAATGTTTGCAGTCTCAAAATTATATGGCTTTTTTCAAGTCGCCAATAGAAAAAAATTCTTAAAAATTTCACAATATGGCGAAGGGTCCAAATTCCAATTCAAATTTTTAGTACATTACGAACACTGATTTATGTGATCCAGAAAACGTAATGTCCCCAATTTCCCTACAACCAGTTCCTAGATATTTTGAAACCAAATTAGAAAAGCAACAATGTTCTTGATGAAGCTAAGGTGTGTCAATTGAAAATAATAGTGCCTAGCCTAGATTATCTACACCGCTCATTATTTTATTTATAATATGAGGTCCTAATTTATTTGGGTTTAGTTAAGAACTGAGATAATTAGAGGGAACAGCTGTTATTTTTTCGCGGTTTCAGAGGTATGCCCATCATAAAAACTGTTTGGTATAGGGACATTTACTCTGCTTGCCCTAAAAGGATGATAGCTAATAAATTAGGACCATATATATTTTTACTAAATATTGTTAAATTATTGTACCATAGTTGGGAGATCATGAATTTAATTTACATTGTAAAACTTATATGGAATAAACATTAACATCTAATAAACATTAACATCTTGGCGAGTTATTTATTTGGTTACTTACTTACCTATCTAATTATTATTTCCAAAATGACTATGATGAACCCATCAAAAAGAAAACTGTATCCCGAATGTCATCTACTCCTGAGATAGGTTTCTAAGTGGCTACGTAACGTCATGTAATCGTATCTTTACGATAAATGCAATTACATTTTGCCCTCAGAAAAAATTATAATATTCACGTAAGTATATTCAATAATTACATCTTCATTCCATAAATAATTAAATTTTTTTAAATCATTTTTGTTCAAAAATTCGCAGTTACTTCAAAATACTGAACGTGAACAAAGGTATAGTCTTTACAAAACGATTATTAATTGAATTTCGCGCGGTTCACAATTTCTGATAATATTGATTATTTTGCAAGTGTTGCCATTTTCATGATTGAAAAAATGTTGAAACACGCTTTGAAGCATTATTTCGAAGAAATTGCAACACTAACTATTAGCTTGACAGTGAGGATTCGCTCTGGGCCTTTTGGAGGGAAAGTGTCGTTTTTATTTTGACTTTCATTTATTTTGCGAAATCTAGTTTAAAGTGGAATAGGATAGTGCTATTGTGCCTTAATCGAAGATTAAAACGCGAAATTATACGAATCTCGAACTAAAATACCCGTATCGGCCCGTTCTAAGGAATCCCTAGTCAATCCAAGCACGCTGCCTCAAATTGCCTATCCTCTTTATGGTGGCCATATTTACAGAAATATAATTAAACGTTTATGTTTTCGGCTGAAGGACTTTGTTTCTATGGCCAGCAATAAATTAAAAAAAAAAGGCTTGACAGTGACAGATATTTTTACTATTGGTCACACTCAATGAGCGGCTCTGTCGCTTGCTGGCTGTTTTTGAGATTTTCGTTTATAATTTTCATGAAAAATGACGGAAAATGCAGTGTAACTGTAAAAGTTTGTGTTAGACTGATCTCTTGTTTGAAGCTGTTATTGTCGTAAAGTATTTTTGTATACCGCGACTACCGTCAGTCGCATATGATGTGTGGCAAATTTATTAAGACAAGAATGAAACATACTTTTGCATTGTAATAATCTAGGATAGCGGTAAGTTTTCTCAAAAATAATGCAATTCCTTTATAATTAATGCATGTGTCGTCGATTACTTATATTATCGTTTATAAGTTGACCTATAATGGTGATTCAAGTGAGAGAAGTTTCTTCCTTTCTAAAATGTCAGTTTGTTTTTGAAATTCCTTTCGTATGTAAACCAAGAGGGAATTTAATAGTGTTTATAAAGGTGCCCGTGAATAAACGTTATGTTATAAACAAGTTAGTGTAGATAGATACATATTGGATTATTGATGCTCTTTTAAATTGCTATCTTATCACTGGTGTCGCTTATCTTCATTGTAACCTCACCAGTCTCTTAAGATCTTGATCAAAATTTTAGCTATTATGTTTACAATATTTTTTAAAACATTGGCTGAGTGTTTGAGCAAGTATTGGCTATGTATGTTTTTAAATTTCTGAAAATGGTTAATTCATAACTACACTATGATTGTTTAACTACAAATGATTTATTTCTAGCATACACTTTTAAAACTAGTTTTACCTTATTGGTTCTTTTAATGCATTATTCATGAATGAAATGTGATAATTATACACTTTTTTGCAAACTGACCTCCAAATTGGGCATAAAGTGATAATGAAAGTCAATATAGTCCGTAGTAAGTTAACCAGTGATGAAAAAGTCTTAATTACTGTCAATTCGTATGTGTACTTTTATAATTTGTTCAACTGACTTTTTGATTACTTTGAATGCCTAAAATTATTATTTATTCATTGAATTGGAAAGTGTAAAATAATTGTTTCATTATAGGAACAATTTTTAGTTACTAAATGTTTTAAAACATTCAAAGAAATCTGATAAATTACTTTATGAACAGATAAAAATTTTACTCATTGTTGTTTGGTTTTTGCACAACACAAATTTGGTTAAATTTGTCCATAAAAAGTAGCAGAACTACCTAATCAAAATATCTTAATATTTAATTATGATTTGCTTTGTTTTTATAAATAAAACTGTTTACTTTTAAAAGCGATTTAATAAAAATAGGAAAATTAAAGAATAATTTTATTATTAACTTTAATTGACATTACAAATTTATCAAGATATAGTATTTGTTAAGAAATAAAACACCCAAAGTACTTGCGCTTCAATAAAAATCTAGGTGCCTATTCTAATGTAACAGCTTTAGTACATATTACAAAAAATTGTGCACAGGTATCAGTGAAGATGGAGCACTCAGACTTGGTGTCTGAGATGGCTCAGGTGGAGCACCTGACCACACAGGAACGGCTTCACCTAGCTAGGAGGTCAGTGTTACTTCTATCATCCTTTGTTATTGATATCTTCTATACAAAAAGTTCTGCTATGTTACTGCGCAAATCTCCAATGGTTGTAGAAGTCACACTCTTACACCTGTGTACCAATATTCATTCATTGCAATATACATTAATTTCATTAATTGCAATAAGCAATATACATTTTTAAGGTTTTATTTTAATCTTTGCAGTAATATATACAGTCTTGTATAAAAAGGGGAGTCTTATGTTATTCTCTTATGTATTTTTACTGACTTCTAAAAAGGAGGAGGTTCTCAATTCGACTGTATGTTTTTTTGTCACCCTGAGACATAAGTTGACAAGTCCCAACAGTAAATTCACCAGAACCCTTACCCTTCAAAACCAGGGCACAGTAATGCTGACATTCCTGCTTGACAGCAGAAATAGATTAGGTGGCAGTACTTCCCTGGACAAACTCTTTCACGAGGAGCTCTACTGATACTAATGATATATGTGTGTTATGCAATAACTCTGGCCTGGCATTTGTGAACCGATTTTGATGAACATTTTTTTGTTGGAAAGAGGGTAACTCGGTAGTGGTCCCATTTAAATTTGAAGAAAATATTTCACCTCTAAAGGTGGCAAACTAAGGGATGAATGACTTTCAAGGTCAGTTTTTTAGTACTCTGTACTGAGATTATTAATTAAATATTAGGTAGCAAACTGAAACTTGAAACTCCTTAATTTGAACAAACATTAGATTATAAGTTGTTTATTAACATAAATCATTTTATTAATCATCTTATCTTGTGTATATATAGGCTTAGCCTTTGTTACATATTTGGTGATAACTTTTTGTATAGATTTTTATCTTATAACTTATAAATTACATTTTTATGTTTTTAAGTATTTTGTATGAGGGAAATTGGAAACTACACCTGTACAATTCAGAAAACTGTCTTAGGTATCATTAAGTACTTTTTGTTTAAATAATTTTGTTATAGTAAAATTCTTAGTTTAATAAATGACATGAATGAAATTTAATATTCAATAAAACTTGATAAAAGTAACAGATTCTTTATTAATGTTGAGTTGTGTGGTGTGTTATTTGTTTATTTTTTTTTATGTATGAATTTTTAAATTTCAACTTCAAAATTGTAACACAAAATAATATCATCTACAATGCAGTATACTATATAAATAATACTACATGAAATTGAAATAACATTATAGAAATAAAAATAATTTCCTATCAAGGAAAGTGTGTAAGGTTTGCATTCATAATCTCTGAACAAAAATTAAAAATAATCGACCATGTTGTTCTGTCATAAAGCTATCAGAGTTATGCTGGAATGTGCCCGTACCTGCATACATCTGAATGGAGGCCATTCGGAACATTTACAGAAGCAGTAGTACAGTTGAGAACACGTCAAACTTGACACTTTGGATCTTTCTTATAGATTGATTTAAGTCTTAATTGTCATACCAGACGTCTTCTTGACTTTGCACTAATAGTGTGCAATTTTTTTAAATTAAATTTGTATAATAAATAGACAACCACAAATTACACCCAAACTCACGAGAGAAATAAATGTAGGCCATACACATATTTCTCCAGTTTTGGGAATCGAACTCAGGACCTCTGCGTGTCAGTCTAGCATGGTAACCGTTCGGCTTCGGATGCAGTTGAATAAAACTGAATTGATTTGAATAAAAAAACAAAATATTGGTCAATTTAATTCTTTTTAAGGAAAAATTCACACTTGACCGCAAATTTAAGTATAGTCAAATTATTTCCATAAAAAATAACTTACGGTATCTAAGACAGTTTCCCTGTATGTCTATAGTTTCGAATTTTTTCAGAATATCCAGTTAAAAAAACACTATTGTCTATAAACACTATTGTCTATATGCGTAATTAGTCAATCACTACATCAGGTGACAAAGTTCAGTCACCTTACGTAAAAGATTTTACAAGTCGTCAGTGTCACTCAGTTTCAACGGTACTTTCAATGACATGTATAAAAATATCTCTGTCGCCTTGTACAATATGTGAAAGTCGACATCCGCTTCAATATTCTTATAAAATCAATACAGTTTAAAATATGTTATAATTCACAATTATGTAATGTGTTATACGTTGTATGTACAATCTGTCAAAAGTCTTTGTTGAAAATTGAACCTTGCGTCTCGTCGTTTCGTTTATCTCATATGCAATGAAAGTATAGTTGCAAGTAATATTCGGTACCATTCACCATTCGGTATTCAGCTTAGTCTGCCTGTTTTTGGCTATTTGACCGAATACCTAAATACAGGAGGAGATAAAGCACATTAAATAATAGTGTAAATTTTCTTTAATGCTGAACATACAATTGTACGCTTCTTTTTTAAAGAAAGATCAACGTAATTAACTTATATTTTATAAAAGATCATAAAAGGTAACATTATATTAAAAATTACCAACTTATTATTTGCCAACCAAAATAAAATGAAAGTTTTTGAAAGTTAGTAGAACTTTGAAAGTTTAAAGTGAAATAAACAATTACTTTCCCCATTAACTCATAAGTTTAAATTATAAAGTTGGAAATTAAAATACCTTTTTGTTTTATTGTACATAATTATTTATCATAACTCATATCTAAAGTTAAAGTAGTATTTTTCGTGCTTGCTAATCAGGCCGAATATTCGCCTATTCGATCTCGTTGCTGACGCATAGTTTTGTATTCGGTCATTGGCTGTTCGTGGCAACACTAGTTGATAAGTAAAGTAGGTACCTGAGGAGTGTTTTATGAATTATAAATATTCGCTTATTGATCTTAATACCCTTAGGTTTAGAGATAAAAATTAACAATAACTTAAAAAGTTACTTCGTAAGCCGTAGACGCAGTTTGTAACTGTAACAGGACGGATTTAACTTTTAATTTACTTTCCAAATTTAACTTTAATTTACTTTCCAGGATAACTTTTAAAATGAATTTATTCAATTACCTTTACTATATCTATTACTTTTGGTGAAATTACAGGCACATGGGACTTGTTAACTTATGTCTCAGGGTGACGGGCGCATGTGGCAGTGCGCCTCAGATCTTTGCGATTTGAAGCTCTGAGTGCCACTGCAACTGTTATGGACAGGTGTGTAGCTTACGATCAGGCGCACGATTTGTTCGTCCCGTCACTTGATATTATTAAAAAAAAAGTTAATTTGTCCTTTTTATAGCACTATGTCAATCATTGATAACAAGGAGTAATCCTTAATTATATCTCATTCTTCATGATAAAGTGTTGTTATGAACACTCGTGAAATTTTCTTACAAGAAAAACGCAAATTTTTATGCTAGTATTTCACAAAATCACTAATAATAGTGCTCAGTGTAATGCTTAATATTCGTATTAATGCGTGTGACATGTAAGGTATAAAGTGCGTTGTTATATTATGTGAGATTACCCGAATAGGTTATAATAACAAAGTGTTTAAAAAATAAGAATGGTGAGGTGTTCAAACTGTTTTTTGTTGTACGTTGCTTTTTATATCTATTACAAAGAAACGATTAATATAAAGTTTAAGTAATCACATTTCGATAGAGGATTCTTTCACAGTTTAACTGGTATCATAACTGTGGCATCACAGTACGTTTATTCAAATATTTTGTATGCAAGTAAAAAAACATAATCTATTTAAAATTTTTATTGAATTGATATTCAATTATTTTTTGTGAAATTACTCCACTAGTTTGTTATAATTATTAATACAAAGATCGAACACTCAGAAAAATTCCTTCGATCTGGCCGGATTCGAACCGACGTCTTCTAGCATACCGTGTCAGACGCTATACCAACTAAGCAACGGAATGAACCAGCGGACCACACGAATTTTTCTATGTTCTTGTTGTCGTGTCTTTGTGTTTGGTTTTTCAACGACTTTTTAATCGTAGCGCCATCGTAGATTTCTCATAAGAAATCTATGTAAGTTTTATCACCCAGTTAGATACCTTTACAGCTACCTGCTTAGTTGGTGTAGCGTCTTCCACGGTATGCTAGAAGACGTCGGTTCGAATCCGGCCGGATTGAAGGATTTTTTTCTGAGTGTTCGATCTTTGCATTAATAATTATATAATTTATACTAAGTCCAAGCTCATGGAACCACGATTTCGTTTAACAAAGGTAAAAGATTATTTTATGGGGAACTCTATACGTTTTCATAATATGATTCCGGAGCATATATTAAGATTATAATTTCATTAGTTTAAAACTTAAGTACATCACAAGTATTTTAATTGAAAAGTCATATTACGAAATTGAAGACTACCTATTAGACAAGATGTATGGAAAGACGACATGGGTCTAGATTCCACACAAATTTGATTCAAAGTGTATTCCATAGCATTTAAGTGAATTTGAAAAGAGCAACCGCTAGTTGCTCGGTCTTCTCAGGGAGGTCTGCACATTGAACGAGCAGCAGCTTAAGAAACGACGTTATCGAGTGTAATTTGTTTTACCTATGGCATAAATGCTTCTTTATCTTTGACTTTCGAGTTGAAGTTGAGAATAAGCGAGTTTTAGCAATTTGTGCTCGCTAATTCTCAACTTCTACTAAAAAAAAAGAAAAAAAATTGCTGTCAGATGTCTGTCATTTGACATTTGGAGCGAAAATCTAAAAATTGATTTGAGGATGCGGGCGAAGTTTGTTTCGCAAAATAAGTATTGAAAATTTGTGAGTGGTGCTACCTATTCTGGTAAAATTTTCAATATGGATGAAGAAAACAAGCGAGCCCGTGCTACAAACTGGGACGAAACCGAAAAAGTAAGTTGTAAGCCATGTGATTGAAAAATCGAGAAAGTAACAGCACTGTGGTAATAATAAATATCAAGTATACATATTTATATTCTTTTTATTCTCAGAGTTTAATCACGCTGCTTCACAAAGAGAACGATTCATCTGTAGAACAAAGATCTATGTGCAAGACTACTTGTTCTCAGGACATAGTACATTTCGTTCGTTCTTCTTCGCCGTGGATGTCAGATCGAGCATT